TCATGATGAAAAAATGCTTCTTAATGTTTAATTGTTCCTTAGTGCAACTTACACCTGTTACTGGCTGTTACCATCTTTTCTGTATCACTCCCCATTAGGCAGTTGCAGATAACAATAACATCTCTCATTCTGAGCCATCTCAGTTCCCCTCTGCCTCTCCTCTGGTAATGTGCTGCAAGCCCCTTCTTGGTAGTGCAATCCATTTTGGTAGTGGTCTGCTGAACCTGTTCCAGTATGCCAAGTATCTTTCTTGTACTGTGAAACCCAGCAAAACTTGGTACAGAATTCCAGGCATGATCTCACAAGTACTAAATGGAAAGGAAAGATACTTTTTGAACACAGTCCCATGCATGTTTGGCTAGGAGGTCACACTATTAACTCCTCTTTAACTTGTCCACCAGGAGCCCAGACTTTTTTGACAGTCTGCTTTCTAACCAGTTCATGCCCAGCCTCCACTATTATGTGGAGTTATTCTAGCTTGGTTCTGCATTTGGCTTGCTGAGCTTCATGATGTTCACGTGAGTCCATTTTTCCAACCCATTGAGGTCCAGTTCTTCCTTATTTAGTGCCTTGGAGCAAGGTTATCCAAATTTGTCAGTCATGTGGCAAGATCCTAGTTTAGAGAACCTTTATGCTGATATGGTAGGAAAAGTAGATCAGTATGCTGTTGATCTCATGTATATAGAGATAACCCTGTTCTCTTCTGCCACACAGCTCAAACACAGCTGGATTCCCATTCTTTATTTACACTTGCCTTCTTTCCTTCCTTTAGAGTTTGAATTAAGTGGTGAACAGCTTTTATCTGACTGTTCACAGGAGGAGAGACAAGATGATTTGAAGGAAGGGGATTTGATGCAGGTCTGTAAAATCACAAGTGCTGTGGGCAGGGTAAATAGGGAGTCACCAGTTCTGGTACAAGTTCACTGATTTCTGGTACAAGAAGCAAGGGACTTCAGATGAAACTAACAGGTGTCACAAGTGAACAAAAATGGCTCCAGACACCATGAGTAGTTATTCTGAGCAGCTTCTTGCTTCAAAACTCTGCAGTCACAGACATTTTATTTGAGTTCCAAAAGGGACCAGACAGTCTGATGGAAGAAAACATTGATTGAGGGCTGTCATGTGCAAAGATGAGACATCTGCCTCAGGAAGTCCAAAGTTAGACACTGCAGGAAGCCAAGGGAGTATTCTGAGGGGAAAAAAATTGAGGAAATATATCTTAGCATTTACTACACAAACAGTAATTCCCATTTTTCTTCAGGGAAGGGTTGCAGATTGGCAGAGTTGTATTTATTTTGTACCACAGTCTTAATCTGCAGGCTGCAGATTAGCCAAGACTATATTAGGAAATATTGCACTCAGATGAATTTGTTGTTTTTCTAGTAATTTGTGTGTCTGTTGACACACTGGCTGTGTATTGAGCCAGCACAGTGGGACACTGCTGAATACAAACCTTAGTTTATCTTCTTCAGTTGTTCCCCTGCTCTGTACCACAAACATGGTGATAGAACAGACTATGTCACTGCTTTTCAGTTCCTCCAGAAGTGGTCATATAAGGCAAGGCTTTTTTTCTCTTTCTCTTCAGCTGCATGCTGTTTATTTTTCCTACATTGTAGGTTGTCTCATTGCTTTACTGGAGTCTCTTCATTCCTTGCTTACCTAAAAGCTTTTAAGTTTCAGAGCAGTGTTAGTCTTAAATTGAATATCTATTTAAAAGAGCTCAAAACCTTCCTCTTTTTTACACTGATGCGTTTGCTGATTTAAGAGGAGTCACTAACCGCTTTCAAGAGCTGTGTTATTTGTGGTAACATGTTTACAGCTTCAGACAGTTGCTGTCACTGTCTTTTGCTAAATGACCATGCTGCTTACATGTTCCTCATCTATACAGCTTTCAGAGCCCCAGACCAGCAGTCAGACAGCAATCCCCTTGTCCTCTTCTGCTGGGACTGTAAGCCACAGGAGACTGCCTTCCTTATCTCCACAGTTTTGGTTAGTCTTCAATACCTTAGTGTCCAAGGCAGCTGAGGGTACTTGCACTATTACTGCTTAGTTTTGTGTTCTCAGTAAAAGAAAAGATGAAGGAACTAGATGTTCTTCTGCTGGAAGGGTGTGTGTTTTGGGATTTTTCACATGGTGCACCTTTACTTGATCATGTGTTTGACAATAGATGTCTATCCAGCCTTCTTTTCTGGACTTGGACAGAGACAGCCAAAAGGTAGCATTTGGCCACCATCATAATTTTTTACTTCCTATATGCTCTGTCACCTTCCCTGTCAGGTAAGATTTGAGAGATGTCAGCAGTAGACATGCAGTGTTAGTACAAGAACTGGTACTCCATTTAGTTGGAGTCCTCTTAGCAGATGCCTAGCCTGACACTCCAAAGTGTAGAGTTAAAAGATATTTGTTGCTTTTTCAAGAACATGTGTTTCAAGACTTGACCTACCAAATAGAGACCCAGTTTTTCTGAGAAGTTCAGTCAGATCCTCACAATGAGCAAGCCATTTGAACCTACTGCTACTTGTCAGCTGCTTTATTTGTATATGAAAAGCATGAAAGAGTCACAGGTCTATGTGACCATTTACCAGCCTTTCACGCAGAAAGGAACATTGTTTAGAATGTATAAAAAGCCTTCCCCAAAGAAAAAGCTTATTTTTTCTTGCAAAGCTCATACTACTTCAAGCTGCAAGTTGGGTAAGGGCATCATGAAGGAAAACAGTTGTTTGAGAACAGCTGTAACTTTTCACTCTTGCTGTTCTCCTTTGGCCCCATGCAGCAGGTTGTTACCATCTCTCTGGTGATGGCTGCCAGCCTTATGCCTCAGCTTGTACAAGGAACAGGACAAATGCTCTCTAAATGTTTTGCTGCAGTGCAGTGTCCCAAGCCAAGTGAATCCCCCACTGCTACTTTTGGCAGATGACAGAAAAGAGTCTCCTCATTGACACAAGTGTGCTTGAGCTGAGAGTGCATCCTGACAAGGAGTGAGAAGCAGTGACATTACTGCCACAGATACAAATTGTCATTGTCCATCTGTATGTCAGTGCTTGTAGGACTTTGTCAGGAAACTGAGCTTATCTTAGCTTTTAAAGGCTTTTATTTTATTGGTTTTTTTCAGCATTTGAGAAACATTTAAACAATGAGAAAAAAACAGCTTTTCTCAAACCTGTATCTAACTGGACTCATGCTAGAGCAGCATTTTGATGTAAAGTTAGCTGTTTGGGAATGCTGATGTGATTTAGAGACAA